GCAACATGCAGAGCGTGATTCGAGCCCTGCCAAGCCTGTGTTTCAGCGGATGAACCCAGTATCTTCACGGAGGATCTCTAAATCACCCAAGTAGGAGAACCGCCCCGGGGGGCACCTGCTTTGCAACGTGCGGCTACGTTTTTTGGGGCTGGAGCTTGCCAGCCTAGCTGCATGCGTATGTTAGTCAAATGGTGACGGTTTGACAGTTAAACAGTGCTGTTTCCTGACGCAGAGTATCACCATTGATAGAAGGAACTTTAAGAAAAATTCTGAATTTTCTTGGCAATTCGTTTCTGTGAATATATTACTTAATATAGAGAAAAGTTACACCTTTAAAGCAAAGACAGTGGCTTCTCAGCCCTGCCAGCTGCTACGCCCCTGAGGTCAGCAGAAGGGTGTTTGCATCATTAAATAAGATTAAGGCACCCACTGCTCTCCTGCCCCTGTGGCCATGCAGGGGCCTCTCTTTCCTCCCTGGCTAATAAACTTGACCTTTTAAAATGTAAAAAAAAAAAAAAAAAAAATTTGATCCTTTCAATTGGCCCCATGAAGCAGCATAATTCACCCAGCATAATGTGGTAAGATTGCTACCAACTTATTTAAAGTTTCTCCCCCCAATTAGGAAAAAAAAAAGCAATTGTAATAAAGTAAAAAACGAAAAACAACGAACAACTATAAACCAGGGACATTTTACCGAGGTGGGGAGGAGAACAGGGTCAAACCAGGGGCTGTGGTGAACTGATGGTAGAGGTTCATGGGGGTCACACCGAGGTGAAAAAGTGCACAAAATGAAGAATGAGGCCCTCCCTGGTGGCGCAGCAGGTTAAAGCACTGCACTGAGAAGCTAAAGCCACTTCCGCTTGAGTTCTATTCCCGCCTGCCCCGGAGGTGACCACATGGCGTGGCAGACCTCTCCTGACCTGCCCGCTGCTCCCCTCAGCAGTGTACTTCATAGATCTGCCTGTTCTGCTCCCACTCTGTCTCTGGTGAAGCCTCTCACCGCCCCTGAGTATCTGGCCTGTACCCCAGTTCTGTATGTACAAATAAAATAAATCTTTAAAAAAAAATGAAGAATGAGGTGAAATAAATAAAAAATCTATCCGGCCGAAAATCGAACTCAGGGGATGGAACTCAGGCTGCAGTGTCTGGCATTGGTCTGGTAGTGCTGAGACTTTAACCCCTGTGCCACCAGCGAGGCCCCAAAGATGAGATTCTTAGATAGAGAGACATGATAAATGTAGGGAGTCAGTGAGGCCCCCTGCATTCTTCTAGGACATAAAAGGGGGGAATGATTGCTCCCTTTACCTCCCCTCGTCTAACCCTACCTAGCACCTGCCCACTGCTTTGGTGACCACCTCTAGCACACTCCTCCATGAAAAGACACTTGATGCAGGCTGAGAGGAGAAACTTTAGGATGGATCACAAGACCAAAAACTGGAGGTGGCGTGAAATGAAGAATGCAGATGTAAGAACCAGCAACAGAGTTGTAAATCCTCAGGCCTTAGCCTCTGCAGAGAATAGAAGGCCAGGCACAGGCTCCAGGTGGGTGTGGGGATGGGCCATTGTGGAGCCTGTAGGTCTTTACAAAGCCTCCCAGTCCCACCTGGAGGCGATTACCTTAACAATAGCTAACAATCCCACAAAGGAACAACCCCTAACCGGGAGAGGACCCCTGAAGATTCTCTGGCCTGGCAGGATGCAACTCTCCGGTGGCCTGAGACAAGCCGGTGTCTCTTTCCCTTTCTCCTTTTCCTAGTAAGCCTGTCCTTCAAAAGGTAACCTATGCCTACCTGCATCTGTGCAAACTTCTTCATCCGGGTATAGTCACCAGGTGATGCTGAAAGGGGAGCTCTGGCGGAACCTTTCTCTCATCGACCAGATTAATTATTTAAGGCAGAATCCATCCTGAACCCCACATCTCATGAAAATGTGGATTTGTAACAATGTGATATCCACAGGAAGGGGAGATTACAGGTTCCCAGCACCACACACACATCCCACCCCCCCCCCCAGGGGGTGGGCTAAACAACGGAGAGAAAGAAACTTGGCAAAAGCTTGGGAGCAGGGACTTGAGGAGAAGCTGCACTTGCTTCTTGACTTTGGACTTGCCCTGAGGCCAGGTGACCTGAGAGAAGCAGCCTAGGTCTTAGTAGCAACTTTTTGCTCAGTTCCTGGTGTGTGACTATCCCTCACGCGATTCCTGCTTCCTGTTCAACTGCGTGGCCCCCAAGAGGCAGGGTGCACCTAGGGGGTCCCATGGATACTGACCCTCTACTCACCCCTTGGTGTGCAGCTGTACAGTCACCTCTTGTACATAGCCACGTCATATCTGACCACGTCCAGCTGCCAGTGCACTCCCACCTGGGACCTTACAGAAACGGAGAGTGACAGAAGCCTGGGCTTCCTGCAGAAGCTCAGCCGGGGATGCAATCCGAAGAGCGGGCACCAGTGTGCCACCTGCTTCTTGTTAGCCCCTGGGTCCTCGTTTCCTTTGAGCGTATAACAGTACCAGGGACTTGGACGTGAAGGAGACACCTGAGAGACACAGAGATGTGAGGGACCCCTGGGGAGGCTGACAGTGGCAGTGTAACAGGGGGTTCCCCAGGAAAAGGGGAGTTTCCAGGTTCCCTGCCCCACCCAAAGGAGGGGGGAGTTGAGCAGGGAGGAGAGGAATCTGGAGAGGAAGCAGGATGGAGGCTGCTTGGAGCCCTGAGGAGGCACATGGAGCAGAGCAGCTGAAGAAGCAGCTCTTGTTTCTTGTGTCTGGACTGGGTGACACGGATGTGGGCATGAGAGACCATGGGGAGGTGACGATGGCAGCATTTATCTTGATTTTGATTTTGCTCCTTCCCCCCAGCCCTTTCTGGCTATTTCTGACTCTTTTCTATGGGACCTGCCTGAGGTGCTTTAGGCTTGTGGTGGGCTTCTGGGCCTTGCTTTGGGCCAATCCCTTTGGCGACAGTAACTTTGGGGGGACACGAGGGGACAGTAACTTTGGGGGTTTGATTTAGAAACTATATTCCTTGTTGTTTCTGTATTGCACACTAATTGTAATAAAATCCCTTTCCATGAAAGGTCTTACATGTTTTGTCTTGATGCAGCAGATGGCAGAACTTATTTACAGCGGGCAGGTTGGGGGCTCAGGGTGCTCCCTCCCTGCCCTGTAACAGCAATGTTTATCTTGATTTGGATTTTGTCTTGTCCCTTCTGCCCCATTTCTGTGGGTTCCCACAGGAGGTGCCTTAGACTTCGCCCTTTGGGTTAACTCTGTGGCATTTATCCCTGAGGGGATGGGTAACCTTGGGTATTTAAGGGGGAAACATAAATTATATTCTTTCTCGTTGCTCTGCTGCACACTAATTCCATAAAAGTTCCTCTGCATGGGCCCTCCCTGGTGGCGCAGCGGGTTAAAGCACAGCACTAAGAAGCTAAAGCCACTTCCTCATGAGTTCGATTCCTGCCTGCCCCGGAGGTGACCACATGGCGCGGCAGACCTCTCCTGACCCACCCGCTGCTCCCCTCAGCAGTGTACTTTGTCGACCTGCCTGTTCTGTTCCCCACTCTGTCTCTGGGGAAGCCTCTCACCCTCCGCATCTCTGTCCTGTACCCCAGTTCTGTACGAATAAATAAATAAGTAAATCTTAAAAAAAAAAAAAGTTCCTCTCCATGGAGGCTTTGCACACTAGAGGATGTTTTGTCTTGATGCTGTGCATGGCAGAACCTATTTGGAACAGGCAGGTTTGGGGGTCCTAGAGTACCCCTCACCCAGCCCTTTAACAGATGGACCAGGCAGGGTTTTATTTGCATCTCATGTGTAAAGGAACCAGTAAGAAAAAGGAGAATTTAGCCTGGATCCTCGAAGGGAGCAAGGAGGAAATATTAAAAGGTAGATCCATATTGTGGGTGGAGAAGATCTACATCATGACTTGTCCTCTGTTGGGCCCCAGAACATGTAGTGGGAGTGGGTAGGGGAAAGATGAACCCATTTCATATTGGGGCTCCCCTGTAACAGGGTTACACTCTAACTGCTCATGGGGTCTCTGCCTTCATGCTCAGGAATTTGTGAGATATTCACTAGTCAGGATTTAATGCTTTTTGTCAGTCATGGCGCCTCGTGGTCAGTGTGGTGGCCAAGTTGTTAGGACAGAGCTCACCAGATCATGGCTGGGTGTACCTGTCCACATAGGACATGTTCATAAAGTCATGGGGGGGGGTAATGGGAGAGGGCTGAGTGAACAACAAAGCTTGTGCTCCCTATGACTCATGAGCTTTCTGTTTTTAGAAAGAACATCAAACAAAACCACGGCAGCTAATTTACTAGTTTACAAGGTGAGTAAAATTTTCAGATGCCACCCAAGTTCTGTGATGTCTGTGGCAGGATACAGGGTGGGTCAATGATCAGATATCAATCCATCTTACCCACCCTATTAATTACTTAAGATAGAAAACCTACGTACTATAAATCAATGCAGAAAAAGCATTTAATAACCCAGATTTTCCATCCAAATAAAAACCTGTGTCCCAAATTGATTGTTTCCTCTGTTGTTTTTTGCAGACAGAATAAAATCACGTTGGGCCTCTCTGGTGGCGCAGAGCTTAAGTCTCAGCTCTGTCAGCTATCTGCAGCCACTGCAGCATGAGTTCAATCTCCCACCAGGGAGTTGACCCACAGGGCACAGCAGACCTCTCCTGTCTCCCCACTGTTTTTCTCAGCAGTGTATTTCAAGACATCGGCCTGTTCTGCTCCCCACTCTGTCTAGTGAATTCTCTCACCCCCTGTATAGAGCTCTGGTCCACACCCCAGCTCTTGTACGCATAAATAGATCTTTTTAAAAAGTTGTGTAGAGGGATTTTCTTTCTATATACAGGCAGATAAATTTGTGTACACACACACACACTTTTTTTTATAACAGTTTATTTTTACATCATTTTGTACATTTTTTTCCCC